CACCCCCCGGTCAAATAATAAATAAATAGAATCTTTTTTAAAGATTTCATTTATTTATTTGAGAGAGAGAGAATGAGAGATAGAGAGCACGAGAGGGAACAGGGTCAGAGGGAGAAGCAGACTCCCTGCCGAGCAGGGAGCCCGATGCGGGACTCGATCCCGGGACTCCAGGATCATGACCTGAGCCAAAGGCAGTTGCTTAACCAACTGAGCCACCCAGGCGCCCATAAATAAATGAATCTTAAAAAAAAAAAAAGAAATGTGTATTTTAGTAGCTAAAGACCAATTGTGTGTCTGTTTATGTTAAGGATTCCCTTTAAAGGGGAAGTTGAAGGGCACAAGCCTGGAAACCTGTCTCCTACTAGTTTTATATTTCCCGTTGTGGCTAAATATTGTTGAGGTCTTTTTCTTGTTCTTCTTCCTTTTATTTATTTATTTATTTATTTTTTATGTAATCTCTACCCTCAATGTACAGCTCAAACTCACAACCCTGAGATCAAGAGTCACATGCTCTACCAAGGGAGTCAGTCAGGTGCCCTTGTTAAGATCTTTAAAATGTTATGTTGAACAGCTTAAGGAAATGATTCTATTAAGTCCAAGACCTTGGTTTGCTTACCTTGTAGAATTTACTTTTATGTTAACTTTTACTTCACTAACTTTTTTCCTAATTAAAATTTAAAAATTTTATCTTTTATGGTGAGATATACAAATGGAAGAGCGCAAAAGACATATACACTGTTTATCATTTATTTATTTATTTTTAAAAAGATTTTATTTATTTATTTGACAGAGAGAGACACAGTGAAAGAGGGAACACAAGCAGGGGGGAGTGGGAGAGGGAGAAGCAGGCTTCCTGCGGAGCAGGGAGCCCGATGGGGGGCTTGATGCGGGGCTCGATCCCAGCACCCTGGGATCATGACTTGAGCCAAAGGCAGACGCCTAGCGACTGAGCCATCCAGGCGCCCTGACATATACATTGTTTAAAGCAAAATTATCAAGTGAAGATTAGTGCAACCACCACCTAGGTTAAGAGTTGAACACTGCCAACACCCAGAAGCCGAACATGTGTCTGGATCATCAGTTCCCTCTCTGAGTCAACCACTAGCTTGATTGTTCCTTTTTTGTTGCATGACTCAGATTATGGCAAACAGTTCATCCTGCTGAAAACAACAAAAATGTTGGTAAAATATTGAAGAGTCAACAAGAAGATATGTAAATATCAGACTAAAATCCAGGTGAAGGCAGGATCTAGAGAGTAAGTGGAGTAATGATGTCACTTTTACCCTGGGGCATGTTCCTTAATTGGCAATTTAAGCTTGGTTTTTCTAGTCCTTAAGGGCCACGTGGGTCAGAAGACAGCCCAGGGCCTGGTGGAAGTGGCAAGTCTAAAGCTGGGACCTCAAAGGGCTACAGTTTCAGTGTAAGGGTAAATTATCAATAAATAGACCATTCAACAGACTGGAAAGAACGTTGTCTTGGAAGGAGGAGATTGAGGAGAACTGTAGAGGGGGCACTGGACCCATAAGACAGCCCTCCCAGGGATATGTAACCCAGTACACATCTCCTGGTGATTAAAAAAAAATTCCAAACAGTGAATATACCCTAAAGTGATCCCTCTTGGCAGAAGCAAAAGCGAATCCTCTCTGGAGGAATGAACCTTTATCCTAGGCCTCAAAGAATTCCCACAAATAATATTCCAAGTAAAACGCTACTGATAGTAAAAAATAAGCACATGAAGAATGAAAATGAATAAAAACAAGCAACAACAGTGGCACCTGAGTGGCTCAGTCGTTAGGCTTCTGCCTTTGGCTCGGTCATGATCTCAGGGTCCTGGGATAGAGCCCCGCATTGGGCTTCTGGTTCCACGGGAAGCCTGCTTCTCCCTCTCCCACTCCCCCTGCTTGTGTTCCCTCTCTTGCTCTGTCTCTCTCTGTCAAACAAATAATAAAATCTTAAAAAAAAAAAAAGGGAACAACAGAAATGGGTCTCATAATTCCAATTATCTGTTAAATAAAAACTATTTTTTTCCATTATTATTGACATATTTGGCTTACATAGTAAAAAACTTCAAGAATATAAATTTGTTTTGGGGCACCTGGCTGGCTCAGTCTATGGAGTGTGCGATTCTTGATCTCAGGGTTGTGGGTTTGAGCCCCACATTGGGTGTAGAGATTACTTAAAAATAAAATAAGATAAAAAGTACAGGGGTGCCTGGGTGGTTCAGTTGTTTGAACGTCTGACTCTTGGTTTTGGCTCAGGTCATGATCTCAGGGTTTTAGGGTCATGGGATTCAGCCCTTCATCTGACTTCGCCATCAGTGCTGAGTCTGCTCGAGATTCTCTCTCCCTCTCCCTTTGCCCCTTCCCCTTTCCCCCCTGCTCTTTCTCTTTCTCTCTCTCTCTCTAAAATAAAATTTTTTAAAAAAGTACAAATGGCGTGCCTGGGTGGCTCAGTTGATTAAGCATCTGCCTTCGGCTCAGGTCATGGTTCCAGGGTCCTGGGATTGAGCCCCATGTTGGGCTCCCTGCTTAGCGGGGAGTCTGCTTCTCCCTCTCCCGGGGACACTCCACCTGCTTGTGCTCTCTCACTCTCTGTCAAATAAATAAATAAAATTAAAAAAAAAGTACAAATGGCTTTAAATGAAGTCTCTCTTCTTCCTCACCTTGGTTATACTCCTTGGAGGCAATAATTTTCCATGGTTTTAGGGGTGCTTATTACAACTTTAAAAAAATAAACTTTAAAATGGGTATCCTTGGGGCGCCTGGGTGGCTCAGTCGTTAAGCGTCTGCCTTCAGCTCAGGTCATGGTCCCGGGTTCTGGGATCGAGCCCTGCATCAGGCTCCCTGCTTCGCGGGAAGCCTGCTTCTCCCTCTCCCACTCTGCCTGCTGTGTTCCCTCTCTCGCTGTCTCTCTGTCAAATAAATAAATAAAATCTTTAAAAAAAAATAAAATGGGTATCCTTGGCTTCAGAAGAGAGTATCATTTTATTCCCAGAATATATCCTCATTTTATAATTAGGAGCATAAAGCAAAATATTAAGCCTACAAAATATTACAGTGTCAGTCTTAGGTATTAAACCCTCTAGGGAATTTTTCTTTTTTTTTAGATTTTATTTATTTATTTATTTTGTTTTAGAGAGATAGCATGGGCAGGGGGAGGGGCAGAGGGAGAGGGAGAAAGAGACTCTCACACAGACTTGGTGCTGAGCACAGAGCCCCACATAGGGCTCCATCTCACGACCCCAAGATCGTGACCTGAGCTGCTTAACTGACTGAGCCACCCAGGTGCCCCTTCTAGGGAATTATTAAGAGCCTAGCTCAAGACCTATTCTCTGAACTTATTAAAAATCCCTCCCCCCCTTTATTTAAAAAGATTTTAAGTAACCTCCACACCCAACACGGGGCCCGAACTCATAACCCTGATATCCAGAGTTACACCCTCTGCTGACTGAGCCAGCTAGCTCCTAAAATCCCTCTTAAAAAAAAAATAATGGGGCACCTGGGTGGCTCAGTTAAGCATCTGTCTGCCTTTAGCTCAGGTCACGATCCCAGGGTTCTGGGATGGAGCCCCGCGCTAGCGGGGGTCTACTTCTCCCTCTCCCTTTCCCACCGCCTCTCTTCCCGGCTGTGCGAGCACTCTCTCTCTCTCTCAAATAAATAAATAAAATCTTAAAAAAAAAAGAAAAGAAAAGAAAAGAAAATCTCTTTTCCTTTTCCTACTTTGAAACTTTGAAGTTTTAAGGTGCTATAGACAGCTTAGTTTTTAATATCCTGGTTTGTGATAAGCATGGGAAAAAAAATTCTCAGTCATTTGTGCAGTTAGCCCAACTGTTGGCTATCTGCCCAGTCTTGAAAACATAATTTTCAGCAATATAACCCTTATACGTGGCTCACTCATTATTACATAGATTTGGTTTTACTATTGGTCTAATTATGTCCTTTGAAACATAAAAGAGTATGTGACTAAGTCAGGAGATGGATTCTTGTCCTAGCTTTGTCAATAATTTGCTGTGTGACTTGGCAAGTCCCTTAACCTTAGTTTTCTCTACTGGGTTAACAATTATCAAGATAGAATCATAGAACGTTAGAATTGGCAGAGACTTCAGAATTGATAAAGTACAATTCCTTTATTTCATGGAGGGGTTGAGTGATTTACCCAGGAGCTTTCTAGAACAAGCACTCAGTCTCCCGCATCTCAGACCAGGGCTCTTTTTATTACATCAGGCTTTCTTTCAGTGTCGTTCCAAGAAATAAACAAAAAACCCCCGAAAAGTGAAAGCACTAAACAAATATATGGCTTTTTAGAAAAGCCAGATAACAATGTTAACCATTAGCCTGCACCGTAGTCCTCAAGCTTGTCTGAAAACGAACCCCGTCTAACTTAAAGATAAAATTCAGAAGTTCTAAAACTATGTGGGAGAAGGTCGAAATGTAAAAGGTAAGGGAAAAGAATTCAGCTTGAACACCCATAAAGGGAAAACAAAACTCCAAGAAGAGTAAATTCTTTTATCATTTCTTTCTGGTCTTTTCCTAACTCGGGCAAGGTGAAATCAGGGAAGAGGAGATTGCCTGTTTCTACACATTTCTGAAGGAATCGTGTGCAATATGGGTTCGTGAAATCGAATTATTTGCCTCAACCATACTACACATTACATCAGTCGTCTAATTTAGCGCCATTCCCTCTCAGGCCACTACCCAAACCAACGCGCTGAAATCGTCGAACACCGCAGTCAATGCAAAAACTCCAAGTCCCGAAACGCTCGACGGCCACTCTTCACCGCCTCCTCACAAGAGCAGCCTTTTTCATCCTGGGAGTTGTAGTCATTCAGAGCCTTGATTTCCGGGATGTGAGGAAGGACGCACGTCCGGGGAACTACATTTCCCAGGAAGCTGTGCGCGCCCTTCTCCGCCCTCGCCGGCGTAGGACTCCACCCCCTCCCTCTCCTCTCTCCCTCGATTGCACTGCTCACGCCTTCCTGGTAGTCTGAGCTGGGAGAAGTTCACTCGGATCAGCTGATCCCAACTGACAACAGGAGAGGAGGAAAGCCGGGAGGCAGAGAAGGAGGAGGGGGGGCGGAGATGGAGATGAGGATGGATCCACCGGTGTCCTGAGAAACAGCCCCCGCCCCCGCAGGCGCCCTGCGGTTCCCCGACACCGCCTCACCGCGGCCGAGCTGCACCGTGGTGGGATCCCCGGGCCGCCGCGGGCGGGGAGGGAAGGGCACGGCCCAGCGCTGGGCGAGCTATAGTCCTGGAGCTCCGGCTGCCCCGGTGGGGGGGGAGCGGGTGCGGCTGGGGTGGGGGTGGGGTGGTATAAACAATGGATTCGGCTCTAGCCTCTGCTAGCGTGGGGGCGGATTTTGGGGGACCTTCTTTGTTTAGACTCTGCTCGTGCCCCTCGGGTTGTGGTGGTGTTGCCCGGGAGAAAGGTAGGGTGAGGGCTGGAGAGAGGTGTCGAGTGGGGGCCCGAGTGGGCAGATCGTTTGCTTGGCCGGTCGGGCGGTAAGGTGTTCTTTTGAAGGTTGATTTTATATTTTTCTAAATTGTGGCAAATTTCGATTTTTGTTTCCGTTGTGGGAGCTGGTTGGGCATGGCTGAGGTTAGGGTGTAAATAAGGTCTCCTAGTCACTCCCTTGCCTTCCTTGTTTGTCTAAAAATAAGATTGATAGATTGATTACTAGAGGGAGGACTTTACATTTCGTTGGGGTATTAGAATAGAGGTCAAGGCTAAGAGGGGTTAAGAATATAATTGTAGAAGTGACAAAAGCCTCTTTCCTGCCCCAGTTATCTTTTTTCCCTTTTTTCTTTTTTAAGTTATTTTTAAGTTAGTTTTTGAGTGACAGAAAAATTATTTGTTGTAACTCACTGCAGGCCTGGCTTTGCAGTGGGCCTTAGAGGAGGAATTCTGTCTCCTGTTGCTCCCTTTTTTTGCAATTAGAGAAGGGACAAAAGGAAGTACAATAATTGTTTTTTATTGTTTTTAAACATGACATGGTGACTTTTGTTTCCAGGCTTAAGGTCCTTCATAGACATTTGTCTAGAGTTGAAACAACCTAACTAGATCTGCCAAAGGCTTTGATGGAGCTAAAGTCTACATTATTACCATTTCTTTAGATTTTTACAGGCCTCTTTATTCACCTCTCAAGTGTGTGCTGCAGCTTAGGGGAGTGCAGAGGGTTGTCCCTCCAAGCACTGTTTGCTTAATGATTTTGATTCTGAATTTAATAACTGGATGAACAGAGAATTTCAGTCTGAAATGAAGAGACAAAGTCTCTCAAATGCCTTGGGCCTAGAGACAGTGGCTGGTTTCAAAGGGAGGAGGCTTGCCCATGATTTTGAGAAGAAATTTCTAGGATCAGAAGTAGCCTGTGTAAGTTTTATAGCAAGAATGAGATTTCTCTCAGGAGTTCTGGCCTTTTATTTACACAATCTTTTTTTTTTTTTTTTTTTTTAAGGTGACTTCTGTTTTTGGATTAGTGAAATACTTTTCCTTCCTCTATTGTAGGTATCCCCTGAAATATTGACTTGAGGTTGGATTATATTGCAGAGCTCCTGACCACTCTCTTTCACTACCAAACCCTTGTGGCTGAGGCCCAACTCATGAGCCCACCTCAGTGAACCTATCGGATCTCTCTCAGATAGCCCTAAGAGACCCTTCCAAGTAACTTTGACCACAACTTTGCTTGCACTTTATGGAGGATAAAACCATCAAACCAAATCAACTTTGCTGCTGACACAAGAATCTTAGAGGCAGAAAATTAAAAATTCCGACATTTGTGAGTGTGTGAAGAATTCTGATAGGACACCAAAGGTTTGTTTTTGTTTTTGTCTTTTTTAAGGTGTTCAGGAATCCATTGAAAGTTCTCTGCAGTCCTCAGACTCAAAAAGCCTTTGTCTTCACTCCTGGGGAAAGCCCAGGGACTGGTCTATGGTGGGTGATTTCCTTGCCAATCTGAGTATGAGTGCTCAGACTTCCTCAGCAGAGAAGGGCCTGAATCCGGGGCTGATGTGCCAGGAAAGTTACGCCTGCAGCGGGACTGACGAAGCGGTCTTTGAGTGTGATGAGTGCTGCAGTCTGCAGTGTCTCCGCTGCGAGGAGGAGCTCCATCGGCAGGAGCGCCTGAGAAACCATGAGCGGATAAGGCTCAAACCTGGCCACGTCCCTTACTGCGACCCCTGCAAGGGCACCAATGGGCATTCACCGGGTATTAGGCAGAGGGCGGCTGTGAGGTGCCAGACCTGTAAAATCAACTTGTGCTTGGAGTGCCAGAAGAGGACTCATTCCGGGGGTAACAAAAGGAGACACCCCGTTACTGTGTACCATGTCTCTAGGGTCCAGGGGCTCCTGGAGGAAGATGAGCTGGATGAGGAGACCAGGAGGAAGAAGATGACCGAGAAGGTCGTGAGTTTCCTCCTAGTAGATGAAAATGAAGAAATTCAGGTGAGCCTGTGGGTGAAGTGCGAGTCCTGTGGTTGTGCAGCAGATCTGTTGTTGGAAGGTAGCTCTCAAAAGGAAAAGTCCAAGAAGAGCTCGCATTTTGATCGTTAAAGGGCGAGACCCCTGAAAGCTTAAGTTGGGTGGAGTCAGATTTCGGCACTTACTGGTTGTGTGACCTCGGGTTGAATTACATTCTCTCTCTGAGCCTTAGTTTTGTCATCTATAAATTGGAGACAGTGCCTACTTCTTCGGGTGGTTGTGAGGATGAAATGGTACCATGTGTGTAAAGCCTGTTGCATAACAAATGCTCAGAACATGGTAGCTGTTGTTGTTACCGTGTTACTGGGGTTATTGTGAGGGAGACCTGACTCAGATCAGCTTTCTGAGTGAGAGTGCTTGGCAAGTTAATAAATGGGACTGATGAGGGGCTGCATGTGCAGGGTAGGAGACACCGTGGGTCCTCTAGGAGTGCCAGGCAGCAAGTCATAAAGCTGCTAGCTCAATTTAGAGAGGGGGGTGGTCTTTAAAAAGTGGCTTTTGATAAGGAGAGTATTCTGCCAGTTGGCCTCTTCTTTTCCTGTATAGGCTGATGGGAAAAGCCAGTGGGGGCACGTGCCATTACAGAAGGACTGGAGAATATTTGATTGGATTCCGAGTTGGGGCAAGGGTAGGGTGTGATGGAAGCAAGCTGGGGAGATCGTGGCATGTGACAGTCGGGGGTGACTACGGAAGGGGTGGTATAACGTTTATACTTTCCAGTGAAAGTAGTATAATGTCCAGACTTTTGAGTGAAGACTGCTTGAATTCTCTGCTTGCTTCTCCACTCAGCTGTGTAATCATGGAGAGTGATTTGAGCTTTGTGCCTCAGTTTCACTTGTAGTTCCCAGTAGTAATTGAGAAGATTCTGAGAGAGAGTAAGGAATGGAAATGGAAGGGCCCTTATCACAGGGCCTGGCACAGAGTGTCCAGTACCAGCTCCTTGTTTCTGTCAGTGTCATGGGGTATTTGTCTAAATTGACTGGGTACTTTTCAGCAGTGATGACTCCTCAAGTCTCCAGGTTGGGGGAGAACCTTTGTAAGTTGCTGTTTGACAACTCTCCAGTTGCCCACTAAGAATTTTTCAGCTCTTTTTCCTCCTTGGTAAGGTTATAGAAATGCATTACATCATGATTCCATTGTCAGCTAAATACTTTGCTAACACAGACTTCTTTATTGGCTGAGAGGGACTAATGGAGTTATGGAAGAGTGACCCAGATCCCAGTCTGCCTCCCTTGTTAGCAATAATGTCTTCATTATGGTTATGCTCTAATTGGGTGACTGTGGACTAAATATTTTATAAATGGAACACTTGGACTTGAATGATTCTTTTTGGTTTTGCCACCAGTTCAGCCTATGGAAAGTCATACTTTGGATTAGTGTCACTTTTGTAAAGCAAGAGGAAGATTTGGAATGAACCAGTAATCCTCATGGATGTTGTGTTGGCACCAGAAAGTATTTTTTGAGGGGAGGAGGATGTGTATTTTTTTCTTTTTGTGCCATTGATACATGTTCCTTAGTAGAGAACTAGGAAAATATATATAAATGTAATGAAGAAGACAAATCCAACTACCCAGAGATGATATTTGTTCTTTTTTCTTGCAGTGTATAATAATGTATGTAATTGGGTTGTTTGTAAAGATTCCTCCCTGCTTTGCTTTCCTTCTTAAACACTGACCACTTCCCAAGAAGTAACAATTTCTTAAGCTTAAGCAGCACTGGTTGGGACTAATGGATTAGACATAGAATTTATTCTTTTTAGGTGGTGATTTGTTCTCGCAGAGTCACAGTGGAAAAATACTTTGAGAGGATGTCTGGTTCTGTTTTCTAATGTGAATGTCCAAAACAATTAGATGATTGTCTAATATGAATCTAGATTATAAATTCAGCCAGCATGTGAACTCCTGGAGAGCAGGACCGGGTCTTAGGCCCTGTGTCATGTACAATGGTAGGTAGGCACATTGTCAGCGCATAAATACCTGTTGATAGGTCGGTGATGTCACATTTCAACTTCGGTTTTTAAAAAAATGGGTATCATGCACATACCTAGTTAAAACCTAAAATAACATAAAAGGGCATATGATCGCAAGAGTTTCCCTCCTACTCCATCCCCTTAGTCTCCTCCTTTAGAACAATCACCATGAGCAATGAACTACATGCCCTTTTAGAGTTTTTTGACATGTACTTATTAACATATGTAAGTATCCTTTTTATTTTTAAACAAAAATGAAATCTAATATGCTTACTGTTCTGTCCCTGAGCTTTTTTTCACTAAAGGATACATCTTATTGCTATAGCAGTACATCTTATCAGTACATTGAGGTCTACCTCATTATTTAAAGGCTGTCTGCTATTTTGTTGAATGGGTTTTCTGTAATTTGAGCCTGTTAGTGGATACTTGAGTAGTTAAAAACAAGGATATGTTGAATATCCTGTGAATCTATTTAGAAATGGAATCTCTTTGTCAAATGATATGTGCATTTTATTTTATATATTTTATTTTTTAAAAAATTTTATTTATTTATTATAGAGAGAGGGAGCACCCATGTGCATGAGCAAGGGGGGTGAGGCAGAAGGAGAGGGAGAAGCAGACTCCCCACTGAGCAGGGAGCCCGACCATGTGGGGCTTGATCCCAGGACCTGGAGATCATGACCTGAGCTGAAGGCAGATGCTTAACCAACTGAGCCACCCAGGCGCCCCTAATATGTGCATTTTAAATTTATAGATACTACCAAATTTCTGAACCTCATTTTCTTAGCCTCTGAAGTACTTCAATGAGTCCCCTGGGTTCTGATCTTGACAATAGCTAAAATTTAAAAAGCTCTTACTTTGGTTGTTAGGAACTGTTAGGAACTGTTCTTAGCACTTGTATGAGCTCATTAAATCCTGATGATAACTATGTATTAGTTTCTTATTGCTGTGGTAGCAAATTCCCGCACATTTAGCGGCTTAAAACAACACAAATTAATTTTCTTACAGTTTGGAGGTCAGAAGTCCGAAAATGGGTCTGTGTGGCTGTGTTTCTTGTGGGACTCCAGGGGAGTATTTCTTTCCTTTTCTAGCTTCAGGAGGCCACCTACATTCTTTGGCTTGTGGCCCCATCATCTAGCTTCAAAGATAGCAATGTAACATCCTCCAATCCCTCTTTCTGTCTCTCTGCTTCTGTTGTCATATGTCCTTCTTGGCCCTCTTGCCTCCCTTTTACAAGGACACTTTGATTAACTTGGACCCACTTGGATAATCTAGCACTGTCTCCTGCTTTCAAGGTGTTTAATGCAGTCACATCTGTAAAGTTCCTTTTGCCACATAAAATGAGCTATTCACAGCTCTCGGGGATTAGATCGTGGTGAGTAGGGGGTGCGGTTTCAGCCTACCACACCTCATGAAGTAAGTTGTAGTCAGTTTGGGCTGCTGTGTATGATAGAATACCATATGCCATTAAATTAGATACCATTCAGTAGCATATAAACAACAGAAGTTTATTTCTTGCAGTTCTAGAGGCTGGGAAGTCCAAGATCATGGTGCTAGCAGATTCAGTGTCTGGTGATGACTGACTTCCTAATTCATAGACAGCCATCTTCTCTTCTCCCTGTGTCCTCAGATGGTGGAAGGGAGTTCCAGAATCTCTTTTATAAGGGCACTAATCTTATTAATGAAGACTTCACTTCATGACCTGATCACCTCCCAAAGACCCCACCTCCTAATCTGGTCACATTAAGGGTTAGATTTCAACATGAATTTTGGGGGAACACAAACATTTCATTTATAGCATTGTGTTTTATAGGTGAGGACATTGAAACACAGAGATGAAGTAACTTGACAGGATCAAGTTACAGTAAGTGGCAGAGGATTTGAACAGAAGCATCAGGCTCTAAAATCCTTGCTGTAACTATGACACTCCAGTTGCCTCTGACCAAGTCTGTTAAGCTTTCTGATTAAGCTTTATATGGCCATCAGCTCATCAATTCCTCAGGGCTGCTGTGAGGAGCAAAGAAAGCACAGCTCTATAAAATGCAAGACAGGGTTTTTGAACTGTTTACTCACAATAGTAAAGATTCTATGAGTTAGGCCCCATCTTCATTTTTCTTTTTATGTTTCTAGGCATTTGTGGGTTTTGACCATTTTCAGTTTTGTCCATAGGAATTATTTTAGAAGCTCGTAGGCTGTAACATATGTGTGGTTTTCTCAAATTCTTTGGCCTAGTGTCCCCTAAGATTTGTTCCTTATGGTTTAAGTGTTATTCAGTTTCTTTTGGGAAACCTGAAAGTTCCTTTTAGAAACAAAAGAGTTCCTTTTAGAAGTGTGAATTTTATCATTATCTTGTTATTTGAGTGTGTACTCTAGTGCTAAATTTGAGGAGAGACTGGCTTTTGGTCTCAGAAGCAAGAATTCATTTGTGGCTCTTAAATGGACACCTTTGGTGTTATTAGCCAAAAGCATTCATTAATTGATCACAGTTATTGAGCATATACTGTGTGCCAGGCACTCTCTAGGTTCCAGGGATACATGGCTAATCAGACTTGGTCTGTGGCATCATAGACTTACCATTCAAGCAGGGAAAGCGGAGTTTACATGTATAAGACGCATAAAAAGGGGTCAGGTGTAGTATTAAGCAAGAATGACTTGGAAGCTGCTTGTGCAGGATGATCAGGGAAGGTTTTATTGTAGGGATGACTTTTAAGCAAAGACCTGATGGATACTACCACCTGGAGAAATAGACCCCCAGGCAGAGGGCAATGGGAACAAGTAGAAGGTGGATGGGATGTTCGGGGTATAGGAAGAATGCCAGTAGGGCTGGAGAGAGCTGACAGAGAGTGGTAAGGGCAGAAACACAGAGGTAAATGGGTTCCAGATCATGTGGGGCCTTGCAAGCCATAGAAAAAAGCTTGGCTTTTAAGTGTAATGGGAAGCACCAGACTGCTTTATGGTGGTAAGTCACATGATCTGATAGAAGTTTTCAAGAAAT